GAAAGAGGTGTGAGTGTTCTGTGCATGAACTGGGGTTGCCTTGGGGCTGTAAAGACGACAAGATTAAAGTAGGATGATTTATTATGATAGAAATATGTGTGAATGCAATAGCAGGTTGAACTCAGCCTTAATGAAAACATGTTATGATTTATTTTTTTATTTTCTGTTTTACTTTAGAAGCACAATAATACTAAGGGTTAGGACTGGATAATTAGAAATGTTATGTATTGCACTCATTTTGTGCCATCAAATAACATTCTATTTACTATTGTAATATCTTCCATTTTATATAGTGCTGCACTTTTCCATGTAATAGAGATTTATGGAATTTCTCATTTAAGAAGTGTTCTAGGATCTGTCTTGCTCAGCCCTAAAGCCAGTCATTTATGCACCTAGGAAGTACAATTAGTCTGTTTTCGTATAAGGGGATGCTGGTTCAGAACTGCACTGATCAGAGCCCACATGTGGAATCAGAAATCCTGTGCTCAGACTGAACTCAAATAGGCTTTGCTGCTTTCTCTTGCAGTAGGTGTATTTTGCTGTCTCACCAATCTCTGTGGAGTCAGCTGAGTTCTGATGGTATTAAAATGACTCTTGAATGTTCCTTAAGATATATCTCAGTTTTCATCTCTGTAAGATTTTGTATGAAAATTAACAGTGTTATTATTTCTAAAAGGAAAAGAAAACCCAACCCAACAGTTTTTTCCACTTTGCTTCTTCTATCTTTCTCCTTGATTTTCCACAATGAGTGATTTCTCAGACACAACCATGTATGGGAGACATGGTATATATATATTTTTTCCCAGCATTTTCCAAACTGCTCAGTGAGCCTGTCATGAAAAACAAAATTAATTTCTAATTAGAAATAGAAAGTCTGGGCCTCTAGAACATAACTGACAGTTTTAAAAGTTTAAAACCTTTAAAATTAGTTTTGGCTTTACTTATTCTAGAAGGAATAGAGCATTGTGTGCCTTTTGCTTATGCTTACATTTACATTAAGAAGAAGGCATGATTTGTTTCCCATCCCTGAACCAAAGTACAAAGATTTTCTGTTATAACAAAGCTTCTTCCTGGTGTTGAAAAACAATAACTCTGTACAACAGGAAGTGACAATTACAATGTGCATGACATACAGTCACCAGTGGTCTTACGATACTCTTTTTGGTAAAAGAACAACAGACAGGAATGAGCAAGACATCCCAGTTCCTACATATTTGCTCTCGAGTCCTTTGATGAGAGAGTTTTGCACTGCTGGCTGTAAAATAAGGCGTGGGTTCCTTGGTGGAGGACACTTAACTGACGAGCTTCTCTAGAGAGAGAGAGAAGAGACATTGGCCATCATTCCGTAAACCCGTCTGCTTTCCCTTGACCTGCATCATGGCACTTGTGGAATTTTTAATTTTTATTTTGTAGGTGTTGGTGTTGATGGCATAGGGTACAGAAGTACCTTGTTTTCTAGGGTTTTTTGTGTTTTTTTTTTCTTTTTTTTTTAATCAACACAATTTACAGTACTAGAAACTAGTATGGAAACAAAGTAATTGCATATTCCACTTCCTTCAAACAAAGCCCACATGCTGTGCCGTGGGAAGGCTGTCATCTCAGAGCCAGGTATATAAAATAAGAGGTACTTAGAGGTCTGAGAGGTGCTAAATACTCATAGCTCAGCACTTTTGAAATAGAGTGCAGTCTGGAATATGTGAACACTCCCTAGAAGCTTTGCTCTGAACATAGAAACCCTGCTGAAGTCACAGAGCACATCCATATATGGCTTAAAATTTAAGCTTTAGAAAAAATATTCTGGGAAAAATAGGCTGGCAAAATATTTGTGTACTTCTGTATTCCATGACTGCTCTTATGTAAAAAAGTCTCAGATCTCTACATAAAAAAAATTGTTATTTTTTTCTCCTCCTTCACTTCAGGTAATATAGGCATAAAGAGTTTCAGCTCATCAGATCTGACTGATGTAAACTAAATTTGGGTATTATGTGCAGTCAGTATACCACCGTGGGGCCTTTAAGTCTCAAGAAGAAGTTATTTTTTAACTGGGGGGTGTGTTTTATGATGTTTTTACATTCCTATATTGATGGCAAAAAGAGGAATTATTTTAATAACCTGCAGATCCTTTTTTTTTTTTCAAATTTTTTTTTTTTTTTTTAATTTTTGGAGCAGGAATGACATGCTTCTAGGAGCACTAAATAGGAAGGATGATCTACTTTAGTTTAAAACTACAGTTTAGTTTGAACCTACTTTTTCAAACCTCAGTCCAGCAAGCAATCCCATTAAAATGTGGTCTTGAAATCTTAATGTGTCTTTTATACAAAATTGCTGTGGTAGGAAGAGGTGAAGAAAGATTTAATCTGACACTGGGCAAAGTCCCTCCATATGGGCAAGCAACCTCTCTGGGCCAATTTGTGAGGTGAGAAGGAAATGCAATGTTGTTTTCCATAGTGTAATGTCTTCAGCTTTTTCTTAATTTATTTTATAATTTTTTCAGTTTCTATTGAATCAGTTAAACTCTGGAGCAAGAAAGTTTATTACCTTATCCTGCACCATTCTGAACCCTGTAGTGCTGGCAATAATACCTGTCCTGGGCAGCTTGACTTCTTCCATCTCGTGTCACCAAGGACTCCTCAGGAACTTGCCATACTGAAACAACTACCTACATGTCTGTTGCTATATTTTCTTTTACTCAGTATCTTAGCAGATTTAAGCATTCTAGAAAATACCTGAAATAATATGATTGCAGTACTGTCTTCAGGGTACCTAAGAAGGTGTCAGTGTGATCTCTGGAGGTTGTATGTCTGGAAATTAAAACAGACTATGGTTCTGATGCCACTGCTAGTGTCTGTGTCAGGGATGGGATTCAGAGCTCTGTACAGCAAAGAGCATTTATAGTATTTCTATTTGAAGGTGAATTGGATTTCTGCTGCTGTTGTAGGTACATGATGCTACCTAGGAAGGTTTGCAGAACAGAAAAGGTTATTTGCAGTAAATCAGGAGTGAATTTGTTTGCATTACTGCAATACAATGGGAGTTGAGGGGAGTGGGCAGTCTTACTGAAAGACTGCAAACTGCTGAAGTTTTTTGAACCATCTTGCCGACCCTTCTAACACTGTCACAGTTTTGTTCAAATGTGAATCAGACTTACTCATTTTAGACCATATTGCTAAAGATATGACCTAGCATAGCTGGCTTGTGATCCTATGAAACAGGCTGCATTAGTGCCTTTACCTATAAATTCTGTCGATTTGTTCTACCTCAGAGATACTGTTTGCACCTTCAAACTATGTGCTGCAAGCACAAAATGGGAAGTGCTTGCTGAATCTTGACAGTTGGAAGAAGTAACATTCACTTTTCCAGTTTTTCATCTGAAACAGGCAAAGAAAACAAATGCAATTGATGTAAAAAGAGCTGTCAGCATTATCTCCATGTGTGTTACAAAAAATATTGCCTTTATACTGTATAATATACTGCATGTTTTAAACACTTTAAACATAACATTGCATAGAAAGCATTATGCTTAACCTGGAAATCGGTCTAAATTATTGAAAACACAGTATTTTCAGATTTGCAAGAAATGGAATTTGTGATGAAAATCAAGATTTACTGTTAGAAAGGATGCTATAGATGGTATAACAAGTCTGTGGTGTATGTGCCTTCACGTGTGTCACTCCTCTGCAGCTCCTTCTGGCAGGGGCAGCCTGCAAACACTCCTTACAAAGCAGAAATGGCAGCCCCTCTGCCGAAGGATGATCTCCCTGAGCTATGGTTTATTTATGGTTTATGGTATTTTACAAGATTTGCTTCCAGCCAAGTGGAAGAAGTGGCACACAAGTGATAGGAGGTTCATTCTAAGTGACACACTTAAATGTCTGCAGAGCTGTTTCAACATTGGATTCCCAGCCTTCTCTGTGGTTTCTGAAGTTTTCCATTTCCTTCAGCATAAATCAAAGCTTGTGTACTGAAAACAGTGGTTACAAAGGCACATGTTGCATAATTCTGCTCTTGTGTTGGGGTCCCACTCTCCAAAAGTGTTTGAAGCACTGTGATAGGCAAGCATACAAAGTCAATGTTAACAACCTGATACCTAAAAGTACCCTTTGTTCTTGTGTGTGGCTTGAAAATCTCTTTTGAAATTTGAAATTTTATGGTACATTTGACCTTTAATAATGACAGTGATTTAATGTTCTACTGAAAGGCCATTATTTAGGTGGAGTGTCCATGTACCCAGAGGAACAGTCTGGTCTTTGTTACTGAGCAATACTACTATTTTTAGGTAAGAAAAGTTGCGTTTAGCAGCTTCCCAGTCTGGTGTTTCTTGATGGAGATGCTAATTTCCTAGAGAGAGAGCTCCAGGAATACAGCCTTTAAATATTGATGAAAATCAGGAGCTGTACCATCTCTGAAAAGAGACAGGCAAAGATGAAATTGCAACATGAAAATACACGTAGCACCTTAGAACTCCAGGCCATTCTGGGTCTGTGTGGGGTCAGGCCAGCTCTCTGCCCATGTTCAGCTGTAAATATTGAGCATGCCAACATGTCGGTGCCATGCAAGGGTTGCAGGTGGACTAACAGAGATGGCCCTCCAGCTCTTCATGCCTTCACCCCCACCGCCAGGATGTTGTGATAGGAGGACAGAAGCTGCTCCCAGGGCAAGGGGTGGAGTCCCTGAATCCCTCGGACACTTACGACCAGATCCTTCCCCGCGGGGTAGGTGCCTTTCCCCATGGCAGCCACACAGACCGGTGGGTTGGAAGCGGCATCGCTCCTGCCATGGCAGTTGGAGGAGCGGGAGGCACGGCCGCGCTTCTGTGGCCGCACACAGAGCACACTCACACTTGCCTGTGGCTGTTCCAACCCCGGCCCGGCCCGGCCCGGCCCGGCCGCCGGGTCCGCCCCACCAGCGCTGGGAGCACCCGGGGGCGGGGGAACTGCTCCCCTGCGCGCCCGCCCCCGCTGCCGCCGCCGCCCAGGGCTGGACGCCGAGGCATGAAGAGGAGGAACCACCCCGGCGGGCGGGCTGAGGCGGGTTCGGGCCCTCTGCGGCTGCGGACCGGCCGCCCCATGCGGGCTCCGTCCCCCGCGGCCGCTCGCCGCCGCTGCCGCCCGCGCCGGGATGGAGGCGCCGGGCAGCCGCCGGCGGCAGCTCCCCGTCCTGCTGCTCTGGGGTAAGTGTCTGGCGGGCTGGCCGGGGGCGTCCCGGCAGCGTGCGGTGGGGCTCGCCGCTACCGCCCCGGGACTGCTGCAGCGGGACCGGCTGAGCATCCTCCCGTGTGCGCGGTCCCCGAGGGCAGTGCTTCAAGCCGGGGCGGGGGGCTGAAGTTCGGGGAAGGCAGGAGAGCCCCCGCTTTGGATAGAGCATCCCTTTGGGAGGGGGTCTCTGCCCGTCCCTTGCCGGCGGGTCGGGACGCAGGGGGATCGCTTTCCCTCCGGCGCTCTCCATCCCGAGCATAGCGGCGGCTTCGCAGCGAGAGCGTTCCGGCCGCGCCGGGCGGGCAGCGGGGCCGAGCGCAGCGTCAGGGCCGCTTGGTCCCCTTCAGCATCGCGCCGACATCGCCGAGGGACGTCCCCGAACAAGGCGTCCAGGCCCCAGGGAAAACGATCTCAAACTTCTCGCCTTAGTCAGGCTTTCCTTCTTGGATCCCACAATGATTCTGGAGAGGTGTGTTTGACTGTTGGGGAAGGTTTTTTCCTGTAGACTGAAGGGCTGGTTCTGTTAGAGTAGTTGAGTTCCAAGCACAGGTATCCTTCAGATCTTTCACTTAGAGTGCCTCAGCAGCTAGAAAAACTCTTTTATTGTTCCTTGTCAGATAGATTGTTTCAGGGCTCTCAGATTTAACGTGTTGTAGTCATCTAAAGTTGCCAGAAGCCGGCTCTGATCATCTTCACTCAACACGAAACTAAGAGATACAGTTGATTCCCTGTGAGTCACACTTAAGGGACAAAAATTCAGGCCTGGTCCTTTAGAAGATGTATTTGAGGACTTCAGAACTTTGCTATTTTAAACCCCTTCCAAAGTACAAAACTGGTAAACATTGCACATATTTCTATAAAAAACCCACAAAGGACAGTATTGACAGTGTTCAGTAGCATCATCCTTAGTTGGTCTGTCAAAAGGATGACATCACATGGCACAAGTTTTTGATTCTCTGTGGCTTGAGGACTTCTAAAATTTTACCTTAGTTGCTCAGATTTCTGTTACTCCTCAGCTGCAAAGGAATAAAAAGATGGCCAGCACTTGTCTTGACATGTGAAACATTTATGCAATCTTGGAGTTAGGGAACTAGGCAATAATCTTTTTGTATGGGGAGACTTCTTGATGTTACTGTGATTTTTGCAAAGCAAAATTACCCACTGGAGATTTATTTTCAGAGCTTTACTAGAGTGAAGGACGGTGTTCCTGTGGCTCAGGAAGCTACAGAGGACGTTTTTCACCAGAGAGGCACAGATAAATCGATTGTGCTAGACATTTTTAACTGTGCTAGTTCCATTCTTAATAGAATAACACACACACAAATGATTTTAAGAATATCTGTTAACTGGTAATACATTACTTTTGCTTGGAATTGGAAAGAGTAGATATAATCAAGAACTAATGAAATGAGACTGATTTCCTAGTAGAAAAACCTTAGAGTTCTAGGATGTGAAATCAAGGTTTTCTAATAAGAAAAGCCTAAAGTGGTAGAAAACTAAATTTCTTCTTTGGGAATGCAAATGCAGTTTTAAAACTAGTTATTTTGGAAGAATTTTTACTTCAATTGAATGATCATTCATAATGGCTTCTTTTGATTAAGCAGAGAGCTGTGACCTCTGCCATTTAGGTGAAACCACCATTCCTCAGTGTTAAGCTCACTGAAGGCAGTGGGAAGCCCATCTGGGTGGGGTATGGGACTGTACTTCTGTAACCTCAGGCGACTACTTTCTGTATCTTTCTGCCTGGGACTTGACACATTATCTCTATGCATAACTACTTGTTGTGTTGTCCATCGTTAGTGAGGATGGCAAAAAATGCAGTGTGTTCACTCAGTGATTGTAGGAGAAGTTGGATTTGCTGAGTGTGGAGGGGAGAGAATGCATCAGCTGAGGTACTTGGTACAGAGAGATGCCATCAGTTCCATGAAGTGCAATGACATCCAGAATGGGGCAGAGCTGGAAACACCAGCTTTCAGGTGAAATCTCTGATTTGCTTAGCAGAGCTGTAGATACTTAGAAGACACCTACTAACTGTGGAATCTAAGCACCTAAGAAATAATCTAAGAAACAGTGTTACATTTACCATCATACAAAATTCTCTTAGTATACTTCTATGTATGGAAACTGAGGTAAGAAGAAACATAAGAGCTTGACCAGGACTTTTAACAAAGCGCTTTTTTTTACACAGGTCATGGTTTTGGAATCCCTGCCCAAATGTTTCTCCTTCATTCTTTATGTAACACCTGCATTTCAGTGGTACTATTTGTATTTTGTTGCCGCAGGCCCCCAGCTGGGTAATCATTGACTCCATGATTCCAGAAGGCTGATCAATCACTTCATTATACTATATAATACTATATCCTCTTATACTATACTATACTTATTAAGAAACTTGTAACCCTTACCGACAGTTCGATTTTGATCTAATTGGTCAATCAATCCAAACACCATCCAGTGTCCAATTAAGAAATCACCCTTTGGTAAACAATCTTCATAACACATTTCACATGTGCAAAAAAACCATTGCAGCAAGTGGAGATAAGAATTGTTTCTCATTCTTTTCTCTGATCTTCTCACAGCCTTCCCCAGGAAAATGCCTGGGAAAGTCATTTGTTGCTCTCTGTGGCCAGAGAGCTGCTGCCACAGTATTTGAGTTAAAAGATGCTACCAGCGTAAAGTTGGGTATTTTTTAAATTCTAGAGTAATCTTTCTCAATATATTTGTATAAACCCATATCAAGAGAGATGGTATGATCCTTATCTGGAGCAGTTCTTGTATGCAGATTTCAAAGATAGTCAGTAGGTTTTTGCATTTCATAATCCTGTTTTCACAGGGGTTAGCCAAGCTTAGTGCTTTGGTCACAGGTGAGCAGCTGTACAGTTGGAAACAGCCTGGTCCCAATTACATTTTTACTTTCTGTTTTAAAGACTATACCTCATCTGCAAACAATAATGAAAAGCTGTGTATAAAGGTCCAAATTCTGTAAGGTCCTGAGCTTCCCTTGTGTGAAACATGGCATATGTAAGTCCTGAAGAGTTTGGATTCCAATGATGAAAAAATATATCCAACAGGGAACAACTTTAGCAGGTTAAAGTTTGAAAACCAAATCAAGGTTTTTTTTTTTTTTTTCCCATTATTTTCTTATGAATATCATGCTGTTCTGCAGCTGCAAAGGGTCAAACAAAGAAAGGGGATACCGTTGTAGGAGTTCTGAATTTAATAGACCCAGGCAAGTGTGTGTGTGTGTAAAACAAATAAACCTTTGCAAAACAGAACATCTTATTCTGAGACTGACCACAGAGTTCTGACAAAAACACTTCTCTACTAAAATGATGCTTCATATTCTAAAGATGTGATTTTCCACATTAGACAAGCACAAAGACAGCAACCCCACCAACATCCATCCTGTAAGCAAAGCATCTGGTATAAATGCAGCCAATTTGCTGTTGGATCCAGGCATTCTTCCCACCACCATTCACCCTGTTTGTCTCTCCTTTTATTCGGGAAAGTGTTGCTTCTTTCCTAAGATTTACGTGTGCAACAAGGGACAGGTTCACACTAGTTCCCTTGAAAGGGTGAATGGCAGGACTGTCCCTGTGATGGCAAGTGGACTGCAGGTGGTAGCACAGAGCATCCTATCTCCAGCTGGCTTGGTCTCAGCCCTCAGGAGGAATGGCACTCCATTTTAGAAGGTAACTCCAGGCTTTTAAACCCTGATTTACACCAATGAGATCTAATCCTAGAAACCATTTAGCTAATGTAAACTCTTGCTACTAAATTAGTAAGATCTCACTATCTACATCCTCTTTAAGGTTTTAAATACCTTTGGTGTCTCAGGGCTTTGCCTGTAGCTTTGTTTTGCCTATGAGGCAAAACACTTTGTTTTGTCACTGTGTGTCTCTCACACTGTGTGATGGTCCCTTAATGGCACCACTCTTTTAATGCCAGCCCCAGACTTACTGTTTGATTCAGCTTCTCCCTACTTGCCTATTACTCCTTAAAACAGATCTTCAGCCCTTCCTTTCCTCCCACATTTGCCTCCTCGAAGTCAGGTCTTAATTGCATCAGAGACTGTGCACAAGAGACTGTGGAGATTGACTTCTACACTGAGATAGACAGGTACTGCTATAGGTAGATACACACAAACTGCATGATTTGAAGGAAAGGGTCATGAGCTGAGCTCAAGGGAGGTTTTGTCAGTTGAGTTGTGTTTAAGCATTGCACCTCCAGTAGTTTTTTGTACTGTTTGTGTTTCAGTTTCTTCCACCTATCTGCTGGTAACTGAGATGATTCATGGCTTGAATTGCAGACAAATGCATCAATTTCCAGTTTGCCTTACCAAGGAAAAAAATGCAATGAGTGGTCCCTTAGAAAACACCATTTGCTGCCATCTGTGTCTTGGCTATTGAAATTAGTACTTGAGAGACACATGAAGAAAGCAAACTGTGCTTTCATTTGGGGCTCAGAGAGATTAATTTTCACAAGCATAATGAAACCTGTTTTAATTCACACCCTTTTAGTTTAGTGAAAGCTGTTACATGAACCATTTTATTTCAGAACAGAATTTAGAAGTGTATTATTTCGTGTTTTATGGAAACAGCCTGTCTTTTCTAAAATAAGAATCTCTTCAGTCAGGCTTTCATTGAAATAAACTGGAAAATATATATGGAAAAAATCACATTTTTTTAATGTGAATATATATGTAGAGTAACCTGAAAGCTGCTTGAAGGACTCTTAGGTCTTCTTACCTTCTCTTAGGTAAATGTGCAAGTATGAGGAAAGAAAGGAGTAGCAAAGTGGAATAGGAGAAAGGTGCCCTTTCACAAGTTTTTAGTCTTAATCTCCCTTCATATGTTGGCTTCCTTGAAACCAGTCTGAAAATAACTTTTTTCCTTGCTAAAAACCTCAAAAAGAAAGTGCAGTGGCACTGTTAGAAATGGTCCAAAGGGTGGAGAGGATTCCTTGTTCTCTTCAG